AAAAAAAAAGAAAATTCAAGGCGAGCAGATTTTTATTGACGGAGCTGAAATCGTCTCCAAGTCTCTGATGATCCTGGGGTCCACACCGGTGGCAGGTACTCAGGTGTTGGCTTTATACTAGAGAGCAGTTTAGTCATATTAGAAACTCCATCGGTGACGAAGCATCAGGCTGTTCCTGGATGCAGCGATGTTACCTTATGTTTAACACCCTGTTACAGCCAATCAGATCACTGTCACGGCTTCATAAACCAGAACTAAAAAAACTCAGGACAACAAACCACAATCACACTTTCTGAAAAATAACCAGCCATGTAACATTAACCAGGTCAGGACTACTATTGGATGGATGGACTTTGTGTTTAGTGCTGTGACGTAGTGTTTGTGTAACTGCTGTATCTTTATTTGGGTTTTATGGTTTATTTAATACAGCGTGTGCCTGCAGAGGGAAGATAAATGAGATGATGAATAAAGAAAAAGGAAATGAAAACTTTGTTTTGAGTTTGAGTTCGGTGTGTCACACCAGGCTTTATGAACAGCTTTCATTAAGCCTGAGGAAGCAACACCGCTGGTACATTTTCATGTACAAAGCATGCTGGGTAATCGCCTTGATTATCTTTATTGCCTATGAACAGCTGTTAGGATTGTCGCTCGTGTTTCTGGTACCAGGAGTTAGAACAGGAAGTTCAAACGAACGAAAGCTGCTTTTATCCAGCTGGGAAACTTGAAACCTGAGATCTTCTACTGCAGAGTGCGTCTGTGATCCTGATCAGGTCTCTGTTGAACCAGATTTTACTCTCTTGGTTAAATACAAGAAGCAGTCGAGCTGGTTGGAGCCTCGCTTCAGACTGTGGCTCAGAGTTAACATCTCCATGGTCACGGCTGTGGTCTTTCCCACAAACTCCACACTCTTACTTTTTACAGATGCAGACATTTTTCAATCCAATCAATGTTATTTAAAACAACAGCTGCCTCCAGGCGCTTTATACTGTAAAGACTCTACAATAAAACAAAGAAAGGAATAAAACATTACTGAGTCGATATTTTCCTTTCTGCACTCGAAGGGCATTAAATACAAAATGCTGCCATCGATAAAGATTTTAACTGAATCGTAAAGTCTACACGTATCACAAAGCAGCCACCTGCACCCTTCACTACATGACATCACAGACTGTGTTATGAGAGCCAGCAGCTTAAATCTGACTCAGAAGAATCCCGGGCGACTCACCCGGATGTGAGGCTGGATGCCGTGGCTCTGGCAGTACCTCTCCAGGTACCTCTGGACCTCCTGATGGGGCAGGAAGCTGCTAAGCTGGGGTTCAAAGGGGAAGTCCGGGAACATCATCACCTCCTTGGGCAGGTTGGTCCTGTCGGAATATCAGAAAACATTAACTGCGAGCACAGAAAGGAAACTTCACTGCAGCTCAGCCTTTCTGTCATGTTCATGTCAATGTAGGAGACTGCAGAGAGAACGAGCCCACAGGAAAGGACCAGAAACAACTGTGACTTTAGGCTTTAGTTGAGTCAGGACTGAAGCGTTAAGGATGACTTTACAACATAAATTATGCAAAGCTGCTCTCGTGAAACGTGGAGCCGGCCCTCGCAGCGAGCCCATCGATGGTGTGCAGACAGGTGAGCCTACCTGAGGTCTCTGTACATGCTGCTGTGCACCGGCAGCCCGTTATCAAGCTTTCCAACACGTTCGTCGTAACACCAGGTGCCGCCTACGTTTTCAGAGAGCTCGAACACCACCGGAGGAGCGAAGCGGCCTGAACGGGACAGGATGTGCCTGGCCGCGCAGAGTCCGGCTGCTCCGGCACCGACCACCGCCACCCGCTGCAACATCAGGTCTGTGCTGGTGACTCCACCTGAACTGAGCACGGAGACACAAACGCTCGAGATGAGGTCTGGTTATCACAGTGAGTAAACAGCTAATAATGAGCGTGCACAGTACGTGCTGATCTGCTCCACCTCATTTCCTGTTGTAAATCTATGTTCCAGTGCTACGTGCTCACATCAAACACAGCACACAGACGGATAACTAGGTGATAACTGATTAATGTGAAATATTTCCGAGCATCAAAATGATCATTTTGCTGGTTTTGGCTTTGCGCTCCAGAAGAAGCCCCGCCCACCTGCTGATTAAATGTTCTGTTTATGAGGGGCAGCCAATCAGAAGAAAACTGGTATAAAGAGGCAGGAGTTGAAACTAGCGGAACTGAAGCTCTGATTATTTTGAACCCTGTTAGAGTCAAAGAATAAAAGGTATGTGAGTCTAAAGGTCACAGGTGACGCTGTGACTCTAATTTACAGTTTAACCCAGCCTGGACTTGGACCTGCAGGCTGCCACTTTACAGTCTGAGCCATTAGCTCCGCTGCTCCACACTTCGCAGATGAGCAAATATGAACAACTCCCTTATCAGAATGCTAACAAGCTAACTCAGCCACAGTTTCATAAATCATGTTTATTCAACCCCATATTGCAAACTGCGCATGCCCACACCAGGCGACCACAAACTTTTTAAGTCTACCTGTCAGTGCAGATCGCTCCGTTGCTACATTAAAGTCGGCACTTTTAAACAAAACACCCCGATTAATCAGTGATGATGAAGAAACAAGGAGTTACCGTCGTCCCGCTCAACCGTCTCCCGTCCCGGTGTCCGCGGAAATCAGCGAAAACATCGCTTAAACGTTAGCTAACTGAACCGCTGGGCGTCCATCCAGGTACCGAGGCAGGACTCACGTCTCAACACCGCTCGGTTACCGCACAACGGCCCTGGTGTTACGGAGAAAACGGTCCCGTGTCTTCCGCTAACGTAATCAAAAAACTTCCGGAGTCCTTCACAATAAAAGCAGATAAGGTCGTTTAGCGCCAGAAAACGGCAAAAATAATATTTTATTTTATTCTATTTTCAATACATTTTAGCTTCATTTAGTTTCCTGAGTGGATTTACTTTACTCAGATGTTATTATGATTTTGTTTCCTCTGTTACATTTTATTGCTGGTATTATTTTATTTATCTATCGAACTATTTGTGTATTTATTTTAGCTGAACAGTCCTCCGATCAATGCTTCCTGTTTTTAGATAAACGGACTTTATTATTTTGAAAAAATAGTTCGATGATAGTTTAGGTTTTAGTGTATTAACCATCCTATTACGGCTGCTTGTCGTGTCAGTATTTAACAAAAATGACTAAAACTCAGTGTTGGGAAGGTTACTTTTAAAATGTATTCCATTACAGAATACAGAATACATGCCCCAAAATGTATTCTGTAACCTATTCCGTTACGTT